GTGCTGTTAGGAGCCCTGTGCTGTCAGGAGCCCTGTGCTGTCAGGAGCCCTGTGCTGTCAGGAGCCCTGGGCTGTCAGGAGCCCTGTGCTGTCAGGAGCCCTGGGCTGTCAGGAGCCCTGTGCTGTCAGGAGCCCTGTGCTGTCAGGAGCCCTGTGCTGTCAGGAGCCCTGGGCTGTCAGGAGCCCTGTGCTGTCAGGAGCCCTGTGCTGTCAGGAGCCCTGTGCTGTCAGGAGCCCTGTGCTGTTAGGAGCCCTGTGCTGTCAGGAGCCCTGTGCTGTCAGAGCCCGGCGTCAGACCCTGTGCTGTCAGGAGCCTGTGCTGTCAGGAGCCTGTGCTGTCAGGAGCCCTGTGCTGTCAGGAGCTCTGTGCTGTCAGGAGCCCTGTGCTGTCAGGAGCCCTGTGCTGTCAGGAGCCCTGTGCTGTCAGGAGCCCTGTGCTGTCAGGAGCCCTGTGCTGTCAGGAGCCCTGTGCTGTCAGGAGCTCTGTGCTGTCAGGAGCCCTGTGCTCTCAGGAGCCCTGTGCTGTCAGGAGCTCTGTGCTGTCAGGAGCCCTGTGCTGTCAGGAGCCCTGTGCTGTCAGGAGCCCGTGCTGTCAGGAGCCCTGTGCTGTCAGGAGCCCTGTGCTGTCAGGAGCCCTGTGCATACATGTCTCTACCTCGATTATGTTGTGATCTTTGATATGGTTATATTACGTATCAGATTATCATTGATAGTGAAGATGAGGTCCAGCATATATTCTAGTTTTGTAGCTCCTGACAAACTGGTCTCAGCTATTATATGTGAAAGACCATCCCTGACAAACTGGTCTCAGCTATTATATGTGAAAGACCATCCCTGACAAACTGGTCTCAGCTATTATATGTGAAAGACCATCCCTGACAAACTGGTCTCTAGCTATTATATGTGAAAGACCATCCCTGACAAACTGGTCTCAGCTATTATATGTGAAAGACCATCCCTGACAAACTGGTCTCAGCTATTATATGTGAAAGACCATCCCTGACAAACTGGTCTCAGCTATTATATGTGAAAGACCATCCCTGACAAACTGGTCTCAGCTATTATATGTGAAAGACCATCCCTGACAAACTGGTCTCAGCTATTATATGTGAAAGACCATCCCTGAACCTGGAGTAACCTTGTCCCTGACCTTCTGGTCTCTGCTTCTTGTAATGTAGTCCCTGAGCAGGAGTGCCCTTGTTAAACAACTTTAAACATTGCTGTTTATGATTGAATTAAGACTTAAAGTAAGGTGTTACATGTTGTTTTATGAAGACTTGTCCGTAATTAAGACTTAAAGTAAGGTGTTACATGTTGTTTTATTAACACTTGTCCGTAATTAAGACTTAAAGTAAGGTGTTACATGTTGTTTTATTAACACTTGTCCGTAATTAAGACTTAAAGTAAGGTGTTACATGTTGTTTTATTAACACTTGTCCGTAATTAAGACTTAAAGTAAGGTGTTACATGTTGTTTTATTAACACTTGTCCGTAATTAAGACTTAAAGTAAGGTGTTACATGTTGTTTTATTAACACTTGTCCGTAATTAAGACTTAAAGTAAGGTGTTACATGTTGTTTTATTAACACTTGTCCGTAATTAAGACTTAAAGTAAGGTGTTACATGTTGTTTTATTAACACTTGTCCGTAATTAAGACTTAAAGTAAGGTGTTACATGTTGTTTTATTAACACTTGTCCGTAATTAAGACTTAAAGTAAGGTGTTACATGTTGGTTTATTAACACTTGTCCGTAATTAATTGTAATGCTTAGAAATAATTATTTATCTTTTCTGTTACTAAAGTCATGAGACTGAACTCTCATTTTAGCTAAATTATTACAGTAATATTTGTGGAAATAAAATAATAATTTATTTCTTATAACTGAAATTGCTACAGATCGCTGTGCCCGTGGCCTGGTAGGCAAAGATCGCGTTTCACACGCTGATGTCCGGGTTCGATTTCCAGACAGAATGGAAACACTGAGTGTATTTCCTTACACCGGCTGTCTATGTTCACCCATTAGTAAAATGGGTACCTGGATGTAAGTCGACTGGTGTAGGTCGCATCCTGGGGTCAAACTGACCTAATTTGTGGGAAATTCTCAGCATAACAAGCGACTTTCTATATAGAAGTATATCAGTGATGTCAACTATGGTCTGTATACCTTGTACATGTACTGGTATACCTTGTACATGTACTGGTATACCTTGTACATGTACTGGTATACCTTGTACATGTACTGGTATACCTTGTACATGTACTGGTATACCTTGTACATGTACTGGTATACCTTGTACATGTACTGGTAGAAAAAAATATATTATATTATATTATTAATATAATGAAAAACTTGGTAAGGGTTGACCTGCCTGTCTCCGGGTCCTCATTATCGTATCATTTAATTTTCACTCGAGTTATCTTTCATTTTATTTATCATGTGTTTTATATAATTTTTTACTCATGTTATGTTTCATTTAATTTCTCACTCGTCTGATGTTTCATTTATTGTTATCTCGTCTTATGCTTAATTCTGACTGTGTAAATGTCAGATTATATTACGATAGAATCAACTCTTGATTCAAATGACATTTTTTTCGAGAAAACAAGTATTTTATTTTGGAATTATCTGTTTGCATTTAAATTTTGTAATTTAAGTTTCAGTAAAGTAACAGGTCTGCATCAGGTCAGTGGAGTCCGAAATTTCGGTCGTGTACAATATTTCCTTGTTAATTTTTATATTGATGCCAGAGGAGTGTAGTGTGTTATGAACAAGTGTTACACCAGAACTGGCACTGAGTCATCTCTAGAAGTGGAATCAATACTTTCCTCACATCAGGTTCTAATCTCGCCAATAAAATCCCACGTACTAATGCCCATGCCGGGGACTACCTAGATGGGAATTTCCCAAATTCCTTCTATCTTGCTCCAACTGAGCCCACGGAAGTCACCGAGATTATAAAGTCACTTAAAATAACTCAGGGAATCTGACTCATGTCCCACCATTATTGTACAAGCAAGCGGCCCATGTCCTATCGCATGCTATTTCATTACTTTTTAACAAGTCACTAGAAGCTAGCACCTTCCCGAAACTACTCAAGACAGCAAGGGTTACACCAATACAACTATAGGCAAATTTCAAACTTACCATTGCTATCCAAAATCTTTGAGAAACTCGTGCACAGGAGACTATATCCATTTATAACGACACAAAACATACTCAACCCCTGCCAATTTGGATTCAGGAAAAATAAAAGCACTAATGATGCAATTATAAAAATGCTAGATCTGCTTTACACAGCATTGGAAAATAAGGAATATCAACTAGGAATTTTTGTTGACCTAAGAAAAGCTTTTGACACAGTAGACCACGGCATCCTACTCCACAAACTTGACCATTATGGTATAAGAGGCCATGCGCTTGCAAATTTCAAATCTTACCTTACTAATAGGTATCAGTAGGTCACCATTAAAGACACAGCGTCAACAACACAGCCACTTGATACTGGAGTTTCGCAGGGAAGTGTCCTTGGTTCCCTGCTCTTCCTCATATACATCAATGATCTTCCAAACGTATCCCAACACCTGAAACCCATTCTCTTTGCTGACGACACGACTTATGTCATCTCTCACCCTAATCTTGCCACCCTCAACACCATTGTTAACGAGGAGCTGCTCTAAATAACGACTTGGATGACAGCCAATAAACTTACGCTTAACACTGACAAAACCTACTATATATGTTTGGTAGCAAAGCAGGAGATGCGCAAATTAACATTAAGAACGACAACACTCTAATTGCCAGACATAATGAGGGCAAATTCCTAGGCCTATACCTCGACAACAACCTGAATTTTAGCACCCATATCCAACACATAACCAAAAAAGTATCCAAAACGGTTGGGATCCTCTCCAAGATACGATACTACGTGCCGCAAAATGCCCTTCTCACACTATACCATTCACTTATATATCCATACCTCACCTATGCTATTTGTGCTTGGGGATCAACTGCAGCAACACACCTAAAGCCAATAATAACCCAACAAAAAGCTGCAGTAAGAATAATCACTAAATCCTATCCCTGGCAACCCCCCCCCACTCTTCATAGACCTAAACTTACTCCCTGTTCAGTACATCCACACTTACTACTGTGCAATCTACATCTACAGGACCTTAAATTCCAATATTAACCTTGACCTAAAACGCTTTCTTGATAGCTGTGACAGAACCCACAGGCATAACACCAGACACAAACATCTCTATGACATTCCCCGTGTCCGACTAAACCTTTACAAAAATTCAATGTATGTCAAAAGCCCTAAAATCTGGAACACCCTACCTGAAAACTCTAGAACTGCAGACACATTCATCACCTTCAAAACTACCACTAGAAAACATCTTATCTCCCTGATACACCCTGTCAACTAATTACACGAATACCACCTGGTGGTTCACACTTACACTCACTCACCCATTTGACCATAAACAGAAATATCAATCTCAATCTTAAAATAATGAATCTTAACTAGTCATAAGTTGGCCTGTGATACTCCAATACTGAAACTATTATTGTGCCAAAACAAAAGCATTCACATTGCTAAACTCACAAACTAGTATTTAGTCACTTAGCCATAATACCAACTTACCTTATAATTTGTAATATTTTAAATTTAAGAATTAATCTAAGTCTGCCCTAAATGCCTAGCCATGCTAGGTGTTCTAGTGGTACACTCTGTAATTAGTATTTTACTACATGTAAACCACACAATAACCAAATTCTGTAAACTCAGCATAGTAATCCTTATAGAGAATAAACTTTGAATTTGAATTTGAATTGAATCAGTCGAATATTTCAGTGGTAACATGAATCCACGACATCAGTGGTACAATGATAACATCTTTCTGCCAGCAAGATCAGCAGTCTGAGACACATACACTACCATCTTCATCGTCATAATAATTATATAACATGTACTGGACTATAAACAAATTCTTAAATTTACCTTTTAGATGTTTGTAATGTGCTGACAGAAGCAAACCTCTGGTAGGCAGTCTGGTTTATACCCACGTGACTCATCATTACGTAGACGCCGAACACCAAGGTGGAGAGTAACGTGTGTCGCTCGTAAGGGCTCGTCTTCATGCTGGTTACAATCAAAATTCAACATTATATTTACATACCATAAAGTTACAACCAGAATTTTTACGAAGCAATTACAGAAACTTTTAACTAATAATTAACATATTTTTTTGTACTCTAGTCCTTCTCTTCTTTGTACCACAAAACATTTTTGAAGAATATACTTTATTTTTTATAAAATTCCGAAATTAAGTAAAATAATTAGAAAATATGGAAAATTTTCAGATGCCGTTTAAGGGAGGACAATCTTTGTCCCACTAAACCAAATTTTTGTCAAAAAATGCGCAACACTGGATGAGGAAGGTTATTAATGTGTCTCATGGGTTCTATGGTAAGTAAAGTGAAGTTACAAATATATTTTGTGCAATAGAATGTTATTGTAAGATTGTAGGAAACTGTTGAAGAGTTTAAAGTGGTATACGAGACTTTGTAAAAGAATAAAACTATAAAATAAGAGAAAATTAGAGAAATTAGTATCATAGACAATGGAAGAAGAAAGAGGAGAATGGAAGGAAGATGTAGAGAGGAGGTGAATATATTATGAGTAAGTTGGAGAATAACATAATATATAGAGTAGATATTGTATGCTGCAGTGTGTTCATGTGTGTATACATATCCCTATACATGTGTACATACATGTATCAGAGCATTTATATATGATTGTATACACTAAATATGTATGTAGACATTCATAATAACCACTGTGAAAAGAACAGTGAACTTCCAAGTGATTTCGTGAATTCTCACATTATCAAGGACCTGTTTGGTATAACTTTCCCGGCATTTTGAAAATCAATTGGATGTTTAAAATCTCTCTCATGAATAAAGGAAGCATTAGAATCTTGTCCACTTCTAATGTTATATTTATGTTGCTGTAATCTTAGTTCAAAACTTTTCCCAGTTTGACAGTAATAAACTTTATCGCATTTTTTACAAGGAATCTCGTAGATTCATCCGTCAACAATTTTGGGAGAATATTGTATCAAGATTTTTAAATAGAACTTTGATATTAATATTCTTAAGTAGAGAAAGTATATCAAGAAAGTTTTTATGGTAAGGAAAAACCAACATATTTTTAGATAAATGAAGGTGGTTGTTATTGTTTGAACTATTAAAAAGTATTTCATTTATGATACTCTGAGTAAGTACGTGGCCAATATTGGTGGCAACATTATATTATTATTATAATCAAGGGGGAAGCGCTAATCCCGGAGGATTGTACAGCGCCTGGGAGGGATGTGGAAGGCTTTCAGGCTTAATTCGGGGAACTGGAGCACAGATCTAATTCCCTAAATCAAGAGCCCCTCACCAACATCAAGGAACCTTCCTTGGGGGGAGGGGGTCAACATCACAGCATGGGACCAATATGAACTGCTTAGTGGGCTGTTATCTGGGGAATTTGTTGAGGATAACTTGTGTCTTTAGTCTACAATCATGGATGAAGAAAGAGTTAAACTGAAGATGTATAAAAGCTTGTGTTGGAGAAATCAACACAAAAGCAGTATAATGTAATTCTATATTGACAACTTTTCGCCCACACAGTTGGCTTTATCGTCACAAACAGATCTACCTGTGTATTTATAGGATGGAGAGTCAGGTGGAGAATGCTGAGCAGGTTGGATATAAGACGGACTTGCAAGGGACCGCTGGGAGTGTTTGGCAGGTTGGATCTGAGATAGACCTGCACGGGACGGGCAGGTGTGTATGTAGTTAAGTAGGATAACGATGAAAAAGTTTCTTGCGAGGGTGTTCATCTCTGTTATAGAAGTCGTTGTTTTGGATGAAATTGTAGGACATACAGATAAGTAATGATTCCAGGATTCTGTGGTACTGAGAGTTTTCTTCTCAGGCGATATATCTTGCATTTCTGTAGTTGATAAAATGATTGTGTGAATTTCAGTGTTGACCATAGACATTCCTGAACTCGTCCGATCTGCCTGCGTACTGGTGTTCTGAAATACTTGTCTGGAGGTCTCTGGATGTTTCGCCCACGTATAATTTGCCGCATTCATTGCAAGGGATTATGTATACCCCTGCATAGGATTGAGGTTTGTCCTGTCTATTATTGGTGAAGTGAAGATTAGAAAATACGTGTTTAGTTAAAGAGTTTTCTTCCTCATGGAACTCATTGCTGCAAGTTCGGAGTGCACGCAAAAAAAAAACCTATAATTACACAATGTTTGCGTAATTATAGGCTGAGAGTAGAAGTGGAGAAGATCGTGTTGGTTGGTAGGTTTCTGAAAGACTTTAAAACGATGTACTTGATCAGGAAAGAAAGAGTGTCGTTGACATCTTCTTATGTGAACTGGATAGAGGGCTCGACCTGGCTGAGCTTGTGTAGGAGAGCGTGAACGTTGAAGCGTCTTGGAGTTATGATGATAATGTCGACAACATAACAGAGCCAGGTGGCCCAAGAAGAAATAATAGAGGATAATCGCTCGTTTTTTAGATGTTCCATGTATAGGTTCGCCAGGACGGCACTAAGTGGGGAACCCACGGGTAGTCCAAAAGTCTGCTGAAAGAGATGAGACGGCACTAAGTGGGGAACCCACGGGTAGTCCAAAAGTCTGCTGAAAGAGATGATTTTCGAAAGAGAAACCACGTTCAACAATGTCGATGAAATCGCTGACTGGAATATGAACTTCGTTGTAGAATCTATCAAAAACTTACCAAGCAACACGATCTTCTCCACTTCTACTCTCACCACGACACCAAAACTAAACGTGGTGTAATTATAGGCTTCTTCCTGCGTGCACTCAGAATCTGCAGCAGTGAGTTCCTTGAGGAAGAATGCACTATAATTAAACCAAGCATTTTCCAAACTTCACTATTCTCGTCACTTCATTAGAGACTGCAGACGACGGTCATATAACATATTTAACACACCCAGAGAAGACACTGCCGAGAAGAGATACATAGTTCTCCTCACCAACTCCGTTGCCAAACATGTTTCCAACATCTTTTGCAATACCTCATTCCAAGTATCTACCTCCACAACCACCACCGTCAAAGACATCACCAGTAATAGACATGGCAAGCTTCAATCCTCTGTAGGGGTATACATAATCCCTTGTAATGACTGCACCAAATTATACGTGGGTGAAACATCCAGAGACCTCCAAACACGAATTTCAGAGCACCAGTACGCAGGTAGATCTTACAATTTAAGGATGTCTGTGTTAAACACCTAAATTCCCACAACTCTCATCACTTATCTACTTATCTGTATATGAAGTAAAGCAATTTCAACCAAAATAAGGTCTCCTATGAATGTATGCATGTATGTATGTATGAATATATGTATTTATGCAAGTATGTATCTACGTAAGTATGTATGTATGTATGTATGTATGTTTGTATGTATGTATATATGTATGTATGTACGTATGTATGTATGTATGTATGTATGTATGTATGTACGTTTGTATGTTTGTATGTATGTATGTATGTATGTATGTATGTATGTATATATGTATGTATGTATGTATATATGTATGTATGTATGTATCTATGTATCTATGTAAGTATGTATGTATGTATGTATGTATGTTTGTATGTAGGTATGTATGTATGTATGCATATATGTATGCATATATGTATGTATGTATGTATGTATGTATGTATGTATGTATGTATGTATGTATGTATGTATGTATGTATCTATGTATGCATGTATGTATGCATATATGTCTGTATGTATGCATGTATTTATGAATATGTTGTGCCACATAAGCCGAACATGTAAATTTAGTAAATTTTTTATGGATATATTGTCTTAAATAGCCAGAGTGAAAATAAAATCAACATAACTGCAAAATTCGACCTGAGAATAAGAAGAAAAAAATACAAATGCCAGAGCTACAGTAATGTTAAATAAATACAAACTGACCTATTATATATCAGAATTTAGATCAAAAATGATGTTAGTTTAAGTGAGGTTAGGAAACTTTTCTAAGTTTCTTTTGCTTCAAAAACGTAAATCATTATATCATTGTCAAAGATTTTTTATTTGACAATTTAAAAGATTTTTATGTAAAAATAATTTTTTTAAAGAGAATTCAGCGTATTGGGTTGTGTTTGTACTCACCTAATTGTTGTTGCAAGGGTCGAGTAATAGCTCTTGGCCCCCACCTCTTCACTGATCGCTACTAGGTTCACTCTCTCCCTGCTATATGACCTTTATCATAACTCTTCCTAAAGCTATGTATAGATCCTGCCCCCACTGCATCGCTTATCGCTCATGGCTGAAGAAACACTTCCTAACATCCATGTGGTTCATGTGTGTTTTCAACTTACAGTTGTTACGCTTTATTGCTGTGTCATATCTCTGAAACATTCTGTCCCTATCCACCTCGTCAGTTCCTTTCAATATTTTATATGTTATCATGTCCCCCCATATTATCCCTCCTGTTTTCCAGTGTTGTCAGGTTGACTTTCCTTAATATTTTCTCAGGGACTAGTCTTGTTGCAAACCTTTGCAATTTCTCAATTTTTTTTTCACGTGTTTGACCAGGTTTGAGTTCCATACTGGTGCTGCTTACCCCAATATGGGCCCGACGTACATGTGTACAGTGTCGTGAATGATTCCTTTCTTTATGTCGAAACACTATTTGCACTTGGTGTGCCCTTTATGTGAGCCTCAGGAGATATGCTCGGTATAATGCTCACTCTAAGATCCTTTTCCTTGTGTGAATTTTGCAACCACTCATCTCTTAGGTTGAACACCATCTGCAGTCTCCAATGTCCTTCCCCAAGCTTCATAACTGCACTTGCTGCGAGGAACCATTACCGGGCCAGGCTTGCAGCATGTCCAGATCCCATTGTAGACTTACCTGATCCTCGTCTGCTTGTATTCTCTTCATTAGTTTCACATGGTCTGCAAACAGACCATGTCATTCACATATACAAGAAACAGCACCGGATCTAGGACTGACTCTTGTAGAACCCCGCTCGACACATGCACCCACTCTGACACCTCGCCTGGCACCGACATACGTAGTTTTC